TGAGAATGTTGGGTCACTGGGCTGCTCTGGGTCAGGGTACATAGGGGTGTGGGCTCTGAAGGTTATTGCCCTGAAGAAAGACACATCTGGAGGCTGGCATCTTGAAGGCACACATCTGGAGTCCATCATACCTGGAGGCAAGCACCCTCAGTGAGGTGGCTCTGGGGACTTGGTAGCCTCCTTGAGCTTGTATTCCTTTTCTGGAACTTAGGAGTAACAAGAGTTCCCGTCCTGCTGGCTGTGTGTGCGTGCCTCGCATGGACCAAAGGCTGGGCCCATGATGCCTCCATAGGGCAGGTGAATTGACCACCATCAAGCCAGTCCCACCCCGTTCATCAGTCTTCTGGTTCCAGTAACGCTCCCGGCACCAGGCTTAGAAAAGCACGCAGGTTTATTGCATATCAATCTCAGGTATAAATTGCTTGTAGCATCGGAAAGATTACATTTGGTATACCGTCCTATTCTACAGCATGAACCTCAACCAGCGTCTCCTAGGCGTCATTGTAAAGAAATGTCTCTACACAAGTACATTTGTCTTTATCACAAGCATCAAAAGGAAATCTGCCGGATCGTCCGTTTACTGATTCCCAACACGCCATATCTCTTCTTTATCGATTCTGCCACAGCGATTTCCACATTCATTAGGAACTGCGCCTCATTGGGCCTTGGCAGTTCAGGACTTCTGGTCTTGGACGAAGACCCTAATCACATAGTCAATAAGTGCATCTACGGAGTTTTCCTTTTAATAAAAATTTCACAGACAGACACGATAATGACCGCTAAACACGTGCCATGCACAATTTACTTGTAAACAGAACAGAAGCAATTTACAACCAAGAGGGACACGGGACACGCACCAGCCTCCTTCTCAATGGTTTTTCTTTTTTTAAACATTATATGAAAAACAAACATTTACATTTGATTTCTCTTTCAACACTATACAGTTCTAAAAGAAAAAGCAAAAAAAAAAAAAAAAAAAAAAAAAACTCAACCAAATCTATATGTAACAATGGCGTAGGGAGGACACGGAACGTACAGGTTCTTGATTTCCACAAGCATTATATATGTCTGGAGTTATACATATATGTGTGTGGTTTTAAATTACATCTTCCGATGCTGGGGCTCAGCTCCCATGATCATGAGGAGAGCAAGGAGAATGTAAGATGCTCAGAAAGTGATCTTCATGATGACTACATTCGCCCGTGAGTTGCATGTTTGGAAACTCAAGCTGCTTTCTCCTTTTGATTTTTTCCGAAAGTGGTTTAAGAGGGATCTGGGATAGAAAAGGGCAAAGCAACAATGGAATGGGTGGGAGCAGAGGAACTCTTCTTGGAAGAATGTAAGAACGTCTTGTCACAGTATTACTTGTCGCTATGGAGACACAGTTTCATGGCTTCGATATCCGGCTGGCCACCTCTAACCAGGACCAGCTGTGGTGTCCTCGGATCCCCGGCTGGACGGGAGCACAGTCTCAGGTTCCAGGCGGCAGCGCAGGGTGCCCCCCCCCAATGGTGCCCTCTTCCCCCACCCCGGACAGCGGCGCAGAGAATACAGCTCAGTAGGTTTTCAGGGGGCAGGGGTCCACTCCAGTGCTTTGAGACTTCGCGTCTAAAACATGTGATATGTACTCAAGCCAGTGCTTTGTGAATGTTCACTGGTGAAGCAGCTAAGGCAGCGAAGACAAGGGTGTTGAGTTTTCAAGGGCAGACCTGGGGACACAAAGTGGCTGTCTGTCAAGCTTGGGCTGACCAGCTGCCCACCTGGCTTCAGAGGAAAGGCTGGGAGGGCGGGGGCGTCGCTCTAGCCTTGCTGGTGCCCACACCTGAAGGTTCAAACTGGGGGGCCTCCAGGGACACACTGCAGAGGGGTTTGCCTGGACAACAGCACCCCTCCCCATCGCCCTGGGAATGGAAATTACAGTGGGGCCTGGGATTGGAAGGGCAATAGGGCAAGTCCCTAGGAGGCCTCCCCTTAGGTATTATTTTGGGATTGAATGTGGACAACCCAAAGGAGTTAGCTTCGGGGCAACAGTTGGGGCGGGACACAAGGTCTCTGGGTGTTGGGACACCTGGCCAAGTGAGGTGCTGGCTTGCTGAGACCCTGAGCACTGCCTGCTGATGCACCTCAGCCCTTGATGGACACCCCCTGGCTAGGTGGTAGATTGGATGTGCCATCTTGAGGCTGCTAAGGCTGGGACCTTCAAGTCCCGCCACTTTGCCTGAGCTTCCTTGCACCCACGTCTCTTTTGACTTGTGAGGGAGCCTGAGCCCACAGCTGAGAGGAGCTGGGAGGGCAGTTCTTGCTGTGGTCAGGGGGATGCTGAGCCATGGAGGTGACATTTCAGGGATACCTCAGGCCCCCAAAATAAGTGCTCTTTTGTCAGAGAATCAGAGGACAAACCTCAAACTTGCTAAGTGCTCGGGCCCATGGGACAGACTGCTCGGAAGAATCTGGGCTCACTAGCATTGTTTTCAGAGGACAAAAAGATATGATTTAAAATATAGGAAAAGGGTAAGAAGGAGGCTGACAGTGGAGGTGATGGCGAACCCAAACCGTGATGGGAGGTGGGGCCATTTCCCTGTTCTGCCACCCCCGAAATGTCCACGCATGTCTCCATCCACTCAAAACTCTAGCCGGAGAGCCACATGACCAAATAAAAAGCACACACCTTATTCTTGAGTAGAACAAATCATATAATTTGGGTTTACAGAAGTGGGGTGTTGGTGTCTGAGGCTGGGTTATTGAAAGACCCCAGATCAAGGTGACTTGGAAATTCCTGATGGGCCTGGCTGAGGGGTGTTTTGGGGGATGAGTGAGGGAAGGGGACACTCTGGAGGAGGGCGACGAGGTGTGTTTGCAAATCATCCTCATGGGGTCCCAACCAGCCCTGCCCTCTTTTCCTTGCAGCCTCTCCTCAGTTACCCCAGAGACTGTGTCCTCAGCCCACACATGCGTACACATGCCCTCACCTCACATATACAGGGCACGGTCCCACCACTCAGCCTGGCTGCCCAGTGAGCTTTTAACACACCTGTGACCTTAAATCTGTTGGGCCCTATGGGGACCTCCCTGATCCGAATGTGCAGCGTCCCCCACTTACAGTGACGATTTTCTGGCCTGATGCAGCCTAGGGGTCTGGGATACCCCTGCCTAGATGCTCCTTAGGGACATTACTGAGGGCATGCACCCTCAAATGTGGTGGCATCATTGTACTCTCTCTACGGGCAACGTGGGTGACTCTGTCCTCTTTCGAACAATAAAGGAAATAAATAGAATGCTCGCCTTCAATGCAAATGCAACTGAAACCTAAAGTGAACAGAACGTGATTGTCTGAGGATCGCTGCAGGGGTGGTGGGGACAGCAGGACTTGCTGGGGGGATTTGGGGGGCATTTGGCACATCAACAATCACCCCACTCCCTGGTTATTGATCACATGACACACAACCTTATTACACAGTTTTGGTCCTTCACTGGGTACTTATATTAACATTATTTCTTCACAATAAGGATGTCTAATGCCAAAAATACTGTTAAGGAAGAAATAAAATAGGAAAAGAAATGAATTAGAAAAATTACAAGTTATATACAGATTAAGGGCAATTCCATCTGGGAAAACATTATTATTTTAAAGTTGGCCCCTATGGGAATAATTTAAAGCCCATCCGTGTAGAGCAGGACAACATGTCCCTGTGAAGACAGAGCTGTTCCTCTCCCCGTGTCTGCCACATCTGGACATCCTATCATTGCCCAGAGCCTGGGTGACTACAGACATGGCCTTTGGGAGCCCCAACCCCGTCCCAGGGAGACACAGGGAGAGCTCTGCCGCTTGGCAAAGTGGCATTGTGGGTACTCCCGCCTGGAGAGGGTTGGAGGCTTTGGCTTCCTTCCCGATGTCCATCTGGTTGGGGTAGGGTGGGATGGTAGGCTGGAGGCCCAGAACGTGGCCAGCAGGCCCTTCTGAAGGGCAGCCATGGGGGTGAGCACGGGGCAGCTCAGGCACGGACCTTGGGATGGAACAAAGTCGGATGCCAGGTGCACCTCTGCATTGGGGACCAAGACCACCAGCTCCTGATATCCCCAGACAATTGGGGGGTCTTGGATGGTGGTCATGGATTCCTCCAGAGGGCTCTTGAGGGCTCCCGGGCACAGATTACACAATATCAGGCACGCCTCCAACCCCGGCTGCAGGCAAACCTGTGCCCAGGATGCCCCATCTAAGAATTCCTTGTCTGATCTACACTCCAATCACACTAGCGGAAAGCACCCCACATCTCTGGGGCTGTGCCTTGGGGGCCCCCGGGGTCCCCTTGACTTGTATAAAGAGGGTCAGAGATAGAAAATGTCTATTATCTACAGTACAAAGAGCTCACCCAAGCCCTGGCCCGAGGCAGGATTGGGTTTGCAAATGAGCTGAGATTTCAGAACAACGAGAAATTACTTCTTAAAAAACAATTTGCAAGTCATTTTTGATTTTTTAAAAAATACTGTCTTTTAAAACCACATGCTTAAAGAGACTCTAAAGTTGATAAGTTTACCAAAAGGGGTATTGGTGTAGTTTTTGTTATAAAAATCGTATTCGGGGATCGACCTCTTTGGAGCAGGCCTAGGTATGTCCACTCCCTTCCAGGAAGCCGTGCAATGCTCAGAAGTGGCTCCTCAGCTTCCGTTTTTACGACTGAATTTCACCCATCCTTCCAGATGGTTCTCCTGAGCAGGACAGCCGGCTCAGTGTGGTACCAGGACATAACGGTGCTTTTACAAACCATGATTGGAGATGCTGGAATTGCAGCTGTTTCAGGGGATTTCGGGTTCTGAGTTTTCATCTGAAAGTTGGGACTGAGCCGAGGTGCGTGGAGGTTGATGCTGAGGAGAGGCCAGACAGCTGCCTGAGGCCCTTGCCTCCATCTTCCACAGCTGATGGCTGGGACTTTATCTTGGGACATTGGGGGTCCCTGAGGCCACCTCCCTTTGGACTTGGACCCCAGCGCCTCCTGGGCCTCTCAGAGGTGGTTGATGGGGTTGAAGGCTCCAGACTCCGATGTAGCGCCAGCCATGTTCAGCCAAGCGTCCAGAGAGCTCTGGGAGGAGGTGTGGAGAGGGGCATCCTCAGAGAGGGACAGCATCATTGCATACGCCTGGGGGTGGGGTGGGGTGGGCAGACAACACACAGGGACAGGTGAGCAGGACAGGTGTGGCCTTGGATACTCCTACCTCCCCCTGGTCCAGGCTCCTACTGGGAGGGGCTGGGGCCTGGGAGAGGTCACTGCTGGGGTGGTGGGAAGGATGAGGGTCTCTCTCGGCCTCTCAGGGTATGCTCAGCCCTGCAGCATCCCCATGGGCCTCCCCGCTTTCTCTGCCCTGGTGACCAGATCAGCATGGTTCCGGACCAGGCTCTGCTTCCAGTAGGCTCTGGGAACGGCCAGTGGTTACTCTGTGAACTCCATGCTAACAGCAGCTCAGGGGGTTGTAACGCCCACTAGGGGTCCTGACAACGTCTAGAAGGTCGGGGTCTATATGACCCCACAAAATCACTTCTGGGGAGACAAACACAGTGTTTCTGGGCCACTGAGCTGACTGAGAATGCAGGAGTGCAGAGAACATCTTTTGTCACAAGCCACAAAGCAGGAGGGACACAGGCTGCCAGGGGGGTGGGAGGGAAGGTGGGCCCTCCCCACAGAGCCAACACTGACAGGATTAGTAAAGACACAGACAGACAGACAGACGGCTTCTGCGGAGACTCAGGTGGGCCCGTTCTTCCTGGGGGGCTTCCACCTTCCCCCAGACTGGAGAGAACCAGGAAGCCCTGCAGACCCCTACCAGAGGGGAGGAAGACCCCCCCAGCCACCCCCTCCCCCCCGCCAGCTCCACCCAGGAACACTGTCCACTTGCTGAGTCACTTCCCTTGAGAAGAGCCTGGTATATTAGACCACCTGCCTGGGGCAGAGAGTGGGACACCTGGCACAGGTGTTGGGCTGGAAGCTGCCCTGCTCCTGCCCACCTCCCGCTGGGGGCAGGGAGGACAAAGTGACTGCATTTCTATGAACGTCTCCGGAAGGGATGCCATGGAGAAGTGTCCACGGTGTCATTCTGCCCTAAGTCTCCTGTTCTGTGCCCTGGGGCAGCAGCCACGTGGGTCAGTTTGGTGGACAGGGCAGGGCAAGGGTACAGTGGGTGCATCAGGAATGGGTACTGGGCCGTCCCACCAGGAGGCGCCATGGCCAGGGTACGGTGGAGGGCAGGGGGGACAGGGCTCTGGCAGATACCTACCTGGTTCTTAACCTGCCTGTACAGGGTTTGTTTTAGAGCCTCAGAGTCTAAGGTGGAATTAAACACATCTTTAACTTCAAACGCTTCCTCAGCTGCTTTGCGGAGGTCCAGCCCCTTCCCAAAAGTCGGCATCGGCTCCAAAGCTAACGGGCCGCCTTCTTCCTCCTCAATACACCTGTGCCAAGGACCGGGGGACCTGGGATCAGCTGGGCTGGCCCCAGGCCGCCTTTCCGAAGCTGCTGGCCAGCTCTGGGCCTGCATGCATGCCCAGAGCTCTGTGAGCCACATGCACAAGAAGACAAACACACGAACAGACACATGGACACTTGGACAGGAAGCCACACGGATGCAGGAGAGGGGATAGGGAAATACGTGCACACGTGTTGCAGGCGGAACTTAGGTCTCAGGTTTGGGATAAGAAGGAGGCCTTAGTTCCCGAGGCGCTGGCCTGGGGCTCCCTTTCCTGGGACTCTGAGGCAACAGCAGGGCTCTCTAGGGGGCATCTGGGCACCACAGTGTCTCCCCAGGGGGTCTTGGGAATGGTTGTTGTGAGGTGCCATTGAGTAGATTCCGACCCATAGCGACCCTATATAGGGTTTCCAAGGAGCGGCTGGTGAGCTTGAACCGCCGACCTTGCAGTTCAAAGGACTTTGCAGTCCAGCACATTAGCTCACAGTGACACACCAGGACTCCTTGGGAATGGTAGTGCCAGTCAATTCAGGATGTCGGTGGGGACAGTGCCCTGCTTGCTGGACTTCTCCTTGTGGTGAACACCCTGCCCCAAGCAGCCTGGTGGACAAGGGTGTGTGGCTCACTGCAGACTCGGGGGGCCCCAAGTCTGAGAACAAGGAAATGCCTGTTTAACAACACTAGATCTTCTAGAAACTCCCTGGGTGTCTGTATTGGGGGACCCGACCCTTTTCCTTGACCCTGCTCACCCTGGCCCGTGTGCAGACGCCCCCTAGTGGTGTGGGGTGCATCCATGGCAGAGACGTGAGGCACCCCACACCAGGTAGCCCCACTGCTCCCCCATGCCATGGTCGGCAGGGCCAGCACTCACCTTCTCGTGTGGTCAAAGCCCACAGCCAGGGGAGCGGGCGGCTCCTCATCCTCCTCATCCTCATAGGCGCCCTGTGGCTCAGGTGTAGGGGACACAGTGTCATCCTGGGACTTGCCTGCCAGGCTGTCCTCATCCTCCTCCTCCAAGTCCTCCTCCTCCTCCTCCTCAGCCTCTTCAGGCTTCTCACCACCCAAGCCGGGACCCTGGGAGGGCCTTTCCAGGTGCTGGATCTCTGACCTGAAAACACATGGGAGGGTGTCAGTCATGCTCAATGCTTGGAAGGACCCCAAAGGTGAAGGGCTCAGCTCCAACTGGCTCCTCCCACCACCACTCTTGAGACCCCCTGAAGACAGCCACTGTGTCTCCTCCCTTGGCCTTTGTTTCCCTCTCTGTGGAATGGGAACACCTCTGTGTTTCAAGATCATAGGGTTCTGTGTGCTTCCTGTGCAGATAGGGATGAGTCAAGGGTAGGGACAGGGACAGGGATGGGGCAAGGGTAGAGGCAGGGCAGGGGTTGCTCAGTGGCTCTTGCTGGGCAGTGTAGACACCAGGGCCAGGTATGTATGGAGCGTGCATGCTGTGGTCCTGTGAATTGGGGGAATAGTCCCAAGAGCTGATACCAGGGTCTGGCACTGCAATGAAGGAGCTCTTCAGGGGAGGCTCAGGTCTGGAGGTGAGAAGGCACAGCCCCTACCAGGACCTGGTGACCAATAGCAAAAGGACACATGGACAGAGCAGTGGGATCCTGTAGAGGGGAGCATTCAGGATCGTGGGGTCCCTGGAAACGGTCTCAGCCCAGGAGGTATGTGTTTCTGAGGCCCTGACTGAGTGCCCCCGGATGGAGTGTCTCTAACAGTCTCCCTACAGCTCAGGCCCTGTCTTGTGTGCCCCTTTCCCATGCTGCTTCTCCCCATCAGCAGTAAAGTTCATGGACCTGGATGAAGGTTTTCCTTCCTTCAGGATAGGATGCTAAAGTTCATCTGGAGCCCATGATTGCCTGCTTCACGGTGAACAGAGGGACAGTGAGGAGGCAGGCTTGCCGGCTAGGACCTCCCGACCCTGCTCCTACCCATTCTCTTGAGGGTTCTTAGGCAGGAATCTCATAGTTACTTGGTTGGCATCCACAGGACACCTGTTCTGGTACACAGTGGGCAGAGGGACCCTATTCTGGGTACTGGTGACTCATCAGTTAGTGTCTTAGTGTCCTGTAGTTGCTGCGACCAAGTGCCACACACGGGGCAGTTTAGACCAACAGAAACCTACTGCCTTGGTGCTGGAGGTTGGGAGTGGGTTGGTTCCTTCTGGGGGCTCCAGTCGTTCATTGGCGTGTGGTCACATGGCTGTCTTCACTGTCTCTGTTTCTTCTCCCACTCTTTCTTTTTTTTGCTCAAAAAAAGTCTTTGTCGAATGAATGAGTGAGGTTCCAAAGGCCTTAACAGAATCATAGCAGATATGTTGCCTCAAAGCTCATTACCACCCACCTCTACAAAGTGCAAGAGAAAAACCAGGAAAGATGAAAAAGAGGAATTTGGTGACTTCTTCCAGACTCTCAGTTTCAACATCTGTAAAGTGAGATTAATAAAGGGTCTGCAAGGGTATTTGTTCCTTATACTAACTATCTAGTTCTATATAAACAAATAAAGAAGACCATAGAAGAATTGACGCATTTGAGTTATGGTGTTGGAGGAGAATATTGAAAGTGCCATGGGCTGCCAAAAGAACCAACAGATCTATCTGTGTTGGAAGATGTGTAGCCAGAGTGTTCTGTGGAAGCCAGGATGGCCAGACTTCGTCTCTCATCCTTCAGACATATTGTCAGGAGGGACTAGTCCCTGGAGAAGGATATCATATTTGGTTGAGTGGATGGTCAGAGAAAAAGATGAAGACCCTCAGTGAGATGGATTGGCACAGTGGCAGCATCAATGGGCTCAAATGTAGCAGTGATTGTGAGGTCGGCCCAGGATTGGGCAATGTTTCATTCTGTTTTGCATAGGGTCACTATGAATTGGTGACAACTCTATGGCACTTAGCAACAACACTGAGGACAACATAAACAAAGTAACCCAGAACGTAGCAGCTGAAAACAAAGCAGCACCTCACAGCTCTTGCTGGCAGGGACAGTGTGGCTGGGTGTATTTTACTTAGTCCCTGGTGAGCAGTCTCATCTGAAGCCTTCATTGACAGGACTATTTCCAAGCTCACTCATGTGGGTTTGCATCCGTTATTCTAGCGGGTGGATGGATGGAGGGACTCTCAGTTCCTTGGGAGCTGGTGACAACTGATACTTCTCCATTGGGCTATTTGTGATAGGGCAGCTGGTTTGCCCCAGTATGGGTTATCCTGGAGGGCCTCATCCGCCAGATAGAGGAGGTCTCGTTCGTCGTGAGCAATGCGTCAGTCTTGCTGTTGCAGTGCCTGCTGACCTGGGACCTGGATGACGTGCTTGATGCCCAACGCAACATGTGTGCCACCAGCTCACATCTGATGTTTCATCCTCATGGCATGGTAGAAGGACAGCATGGATGGACCGTGGCATGAACTCACGTTAAATGATTACCTCTTAGAAGAACTCTTTTCAAAGTCACAGGGATCAGGGCTGGATCTTCAGCATATCTTTTTTTGGGGACATTATTCACCCCATAATTAATGGAAAGATAGGAGACTGTGTCTGATTCCTCATTGATGTCAACAAGAAGCCGCGTAGGGATGCATATGTAGAGGGCCTGGGGTTGAGTGGTGACTCCAAGTCTGGAACCTGGTCTTTCTGTCTTCCCATGCAACAGTGCCAGCGATTGGAGAGATGCCCGGAGGCCACACACAGCATGTCTCGAGGTGCACCATTTCATCAAAGCTGATCTCGCCATGCGGTTTTATGTGTAACTTCCTCTGGGCCCTCGGCTCCTGCACAGAATGTTTGCTCACAGGTGGGAGGGTTTCATTCAGAATTAGTGAGGCAGGCAGGGGGGAGGTCTGCAGGGGCTGGCCGGCTAGGGACAGCTGCAGGCAGGGAGGGCATCTGGGCAGGGTCCAAGTCTGGGGACTAGGAACCAAGGCTGTGTCACCATCAGTTGTGAAGTCACGTGATTGAAATTGGGACTGATTACGCTTCTCACTCCTGGCAATGATGAATGGCAGAGAGCCTTCGTGACAAGACCAGCTGGACCCTGGGGACCTTAAAGGACAGGCCAGGCCCTCTTCCCTCTGAGTTCACCTCTCTCAGGACCCCAGTTCTACTCTGTGCTTATGGTTCACAGCCTTGGGGGCTCATGAGGTTAAGGATGTGTATAGTTCTCTGCCAGCTGGTCTGGCACTAGCATTTGCCCAAGAAGGACCCTGTCCTGCGGTGCCTGATGGTTCTTTCCAGAAAGAAGGGGCCCAAGACAAATGGCAGCTGGTGAACCCCAGACTGGAGGCTGCATAGAGGACCCTTGGCACCTGGAAACCCAAATTCTGCTGCTTTCCAGATGTGCACATGTGTATATGCACTCTGTGAGTGCATGTATCTGCATGCATGTGTGTCTCCATCTGTGTATGTGGACAGTGTATATGTGTACATGTATGGATACAGATGTGTGAATGTGTATGAGTGTGGATGTGCGTTTATGTGTGGATGTGTGTGCATGCCTGTGTGTTTTCATGTGTGCATGTGTGTGCATACCTGTATGTTTTTATGGGTGCATGTGTGTGTACGCCTGTGTGTTTTTATGGGTGCATGTGTGTGCATGCCTGTGTGTTTTTATGGGTGTATGTGTGTGCACACCAGTGTGTTTTTATGTATACATGTGTGTGTATGCCTGTGTGTTTTTCATGGGGCAGTCTTCTGCACTGGTTCCTTGGATGAAATAGAAAGGTCCTTGTGTTTTGGGTTTTGGAAGCATGGTTCAACTTGGAGCAGGAGCCCTCACCTGGTGGATGTTTTGTTTGCACATCTGGTCACAGCAGGCAAACACCAGTCAGGATCCAGGTGTGTGAGCCTCGTGTGCACTAGTCTCCTTTGTTCCTTGACAGTGCTCAGAGGGGAAACTGAGGTGGGGCCCACCCTGTCCAGGTGTGCACTAGGAGGTGGGGTCTGCACCCACCTATGGCTCCCTAGATGTCCTTACCGTTTGTCTGTCCGAGTTGATGCTTGGCTCATCTCACTATTGGCAATGAAGTTCCGGATCTCAGAGAAATAGGAGTCTTCTTTCTCATCTAAAAGTGCGTGGTTGTCCGACTCGGAGGTGGGGGAAGAGGCGCCTGTGCCAAGGTGGTTTGTGAGGACCCCAGAGTGCTGGCTCACTGTGGGGGCAGGGTGGGCGGGGTGCATTAGAGGAGGCTGGGCTTCAGCCCTGGAACACACATGGGGGGGGGGGCTCCTGGGAAATCGCAGAGCATGAAACTCTCTTTCATGAATGTGGCTTTGGGGTACCCACCAGCCATCTTGTAGGACCATCACGTGCTGCGCTTTTCTCCTCTGCCCGCCTCTCCTTCTTTCCCCAATCTTCTCATCTCTCCTCTCCCTCCTCCTCCTTCCTCTCTTAGGCTCTGTTCCTTTCTTCTCTTCCTTCCCCTCCCCTCTATTACTCTTGCCCCTCACCTCTTCCTTTCACCTCTTCCCTTCCTGGCCCTACACCCACCTTGGTGGGGCTGCTCCAGGCTCTGCTGCTCGCCCCCGATTGGTCATCCCAGCCCAGCACCCACACAGTCCCACCGCCCACCTGGCACACTCTCATGCTCATGCTTCTTCAGGTGTCTGTCCAGGTTGGTTTGCTGCCCGAAGCACCGGTTGCACAGATGGCACTTGAAGGGCTTCTCCTTGTTGTGAATGTTCCGGACGTGCCGCTGCAGGTTGGAGGAGATGCTGAAGGAACGGTCACAGTACTTACACCTGGAAGACACACGCCAGCCTGAGAGGGGTCTGGACCATCGAGGGCGGACGCCCAAGAGAGCCCAGTAAGAATGCCATCCCTGCTTCAGAGACCACTACGGGGACAGAACAGCAAAACCAAACAGCGAAGGTAATGGCAAAGGAGGCAGGGAGCCGGGATCTCCCCACACAGCCTGTTACCCTGCATGGACCTGTGCTCACAGCTAGTCTCCCTGGGACCTGACCCTAGAGTGGAAAGTTGGCACAGGAAGCTATCCCTAGAATCAGCACTGCCCAAAGCAGTGTCCTGTGATGGTGGTGGGTGATGATGATGTGATGTGGAGTTGATTCCGACTCACAGCCACCCTGCATAGGGTTTCTGAGGTTGTAAATCTTTACTGGAGCAGAAAGCCTCATCTTTGTTCTGCGGAACCGCTGGTAGGACAGCAAACTGCTGACCTTGAGATTAGCAGCCCGATTTGTAAGATGAGGCTTTCTGCTTCCGTAAAGATTTGCAGCCTCGGAAACCCTGTGCAGGGTCACTATGAGTTGGAACTGACTTCACAGTACTTAACACCACCACCACCACCACCACCACCACTATCAGTGTCCTGAGAATATGCACATTTTCTTGTCCCTTCTCCTGAGGCTAGGCGACTGGAGGGAGAAATACTGCTGGATGCCTCTAGGGGGCAGCCTTGCACCACAGGAATGATGCTGGAGGTCCCTTTCCTGCACGTTCTGGGCACAGACCACTGGGGGCTCCTGCAATCTTCCTGTGGTCAGTGGACCCTGCCCATAGAGGACTGGGCCTAGCCCCCAAATGTCTGGGTGTCCTTGAGCAGTCCTGTCTCTCTTTAGCCTTCACCTTGCTCATCCGTTGACTAGGGGCTAAGGGGCTGCCCTGAATGCTCTTTAGGACTCTGATGGGGGCGGGGACATCTCCTCCCTGTCCAACCACCTCCCCCATTTGGCCCCACTCAGGTTGAATGAGAAAATCAGACTAAGACACCCCTCCTTCTAGATGCCTCATCTGCATCGGTTGAATGGAGCATCCCAAGTTTGTAAGTGCATGACACTACAGCCATAATTTTGTTGTAACGAACAATCTGAGATGTCTGTGGGGTAGATGGGGATTCTGAGATGGTGGCACCAGTGGCAGGGAGAGCAGGCTAGTCTTCCATTTTAGGGGGTGGAGACTGAGCAGGGACCCAAGCAATACCACACTGGCTAACAAGAAGCTCAGCCACAAGCACAAATAGAGACAGAGCTGTTCCTAGAAGGAGGGCATTGTTGAAGGAGGAGCTCTACACACGACCATGTACCGCCCTGGGAGCGCAAGGACTCCTTGTCATGGAGGGGACAAGCAAAGGCCCCCGAGAGCTACTGAGAGGTGTTCCCACCACTGGTACGCCCGACTCAGTGAGTGTCAACTGTGCACATGTATGTGTGGTGTGCGTGCACATATAGGCAAGCATACACACACAGGACCGTGTTTATGTGTGCACACATGTGGGTGTGTGCAGGCACATGTGTGAAAGGTGTATGCACACATACATGTATGGGTGTGAGTCATGTGGGTATGTATGCACACAAGTGTTGGGATATGCATGTACACATGGGTGTGTGGGTGTGCATGCATGTGTGCATACACGGACATGTGCCCGTGGGTGGGTAGATGCACATGCGCAGTGATTGCCAGGCTTCCTCCCGGCGGTGCTTATCTGGCTCTCGGGGCACGTGAGCACTTGAAAGGGATCTTCATGAGACCATGGTGACCAACGGCTCCTGCTATTTCCAGGGTGTGACATGGAACTAGTCACATGTTGCAGTCACAGACCTGGCGAGCAGGTCTTTCAGAGGCAGTGTTCATGGGCACGGGGTGTGGGGGGTGGCCCAAGTGTCTACTCCACCCCTGCGTCAGCACAGTCAACTGGTTACACAGTCTCAGTCATGTGGTGGGGACGTGTCTGCAGACATTGGTCCTCTTGCTGCTCAGTGTCCCATGACACCTGGGTCAGAGCCAGGCCTGGAGGTGCCATGTGGGAGAGCCTAGTAGGGCCCACTGCAGGTCTCAGTCTCTGAGGCTTTGCTGTACTTCTCGGAGGCAGGGTCCTGCCAGGGGTCACCTTGCAGACGCACTCAGCTCCCAGGGCCACCAGGCCTCGGGACTGACCTCTAGGTGTCATCCTTAGGCCCTGATACCTGGACGGACCCTTGGAAGCTCAGAGTTTCTGAGTTACCACCCCTAGACCCTGTCCCCCAATCTGCTTCATAAGCTTGGGAAGTGATAACTGGGTTAGTAGAATGCGGACTTCCCTGTTTGAAGGAACTCCTTGTCCACACCTTTCTTCCAGGCTTTATGGCTGGACCCACCCATCCTGGGGTTTACTCATTCATTCAGTTCATGAAGCTTCTAAATAGTGTAACTGGGCTTCTTTCTCAGCAGACAGGCAAAGAAGAGCCTTAAAAATAAAATTAAATAAAAAACGAAAAAATCTCCACTGCCATCAAGTTGATTCCAACTCATTGTGACCTTGTATTGTATTTACAAGACTGTAAATCTTATGGGAACAGCCAGCCAGTCACATCTTTCTCCCATGGAGAGGCTGATGGATTTGAACTGCCAACCTTATGGTTACCAGTCCAGGGTTCATCCTACAGTGCCACCCAGGGCATCTATGAACTAGATCCTTCCAATACAGCCTGGGCCCTTTCTGCCGGACCCTGAGTCTCTTCAGCCAGGGGAACTGTCTCTGGGCTTTCTTCATGGCCCGCTTCCCTCAGCAATCTAAGCTCAGTCCCCTGACTGGGACCCATCGTGTCTGCAAAACCTGGGTGATGGGCGGCTTAGCTCTCACCTGTGAATGAGAGAGGACTCCTGGTGGGGCCTCGGGACCCTCAGGCCCATCACTGCCAACACAAAGGTTCAGAAGAGGAGGGACTTGACATCTTTAAATGCTTCTTTCTGGATCTAGAAGCACCTTTTAACTCAGACACCCTGATGGTGCCCTGCTGGATGGCTGTCCTGCTCTACTGGGCAGGAGTCCTCTTGGCTGAAGAGGGAGACCAGGGCCATGCTGGACCCAGCCCAGTCAGGCTCCTTACAGTACACCCTGGTCTGTCTGTCTAGCCATACGCTCACACATACTCATGTGCATAGTGTTCAGTTGGAAATGCAAGGTCTCTATGAAAAGTTTCACTTGCTGCTCTTTGCCGGGGCTCTGAGGTCCCCAGTGGGAAACAAACTGATAAAAGTATTTGTTAGGAAGTCAGAGCAGGGCTGCTTTCATGGGGCTCCCTCTGTCTCTGGGGCCCGAGGGGGAGGGCAGTGGAGAGCTGGGTTCCATTTAGTTGCTGAGAGTCCTGACGGTGGGGCTCTCTCTTGGTTTTAATCTAAATATATGATCCACATCAAGGAGTCAATCTGGAATTTAGGGGCACAGCGAGCCCAGGGCTGTGAGGGAGCATTTTCACAGCTGGGATTTACTTTGTAAAGAAACTGACAAGTGGCTAGTGAAATTTATGACCAGGCTGCAGAAACTCACACACCACTGAGCTCACGTGGAATGACAGCAAGGACGGGCTAGGCTGAGGTACACTGTGGAGGGCACCCCGGCACGCTTGGAGGGAAACTGTGTGTGCTGCCCGAGGACCGGGGACCCACGGTGGAGGAAGGGCAAAGTGGCCACGAGCCTGGCTACTGGCAGAGTCCTCTTGCAGTCACAGGGAGAACTGGTTTTGTTTGGTTTTAAAACGGAAGAAGTGGGGGGTTTTGGGAAGATGGCAGCGTGAGCAGATCTAGGATCTTGATTCTCCAAGAACACCCAAGAAAGCAATTAGAATTCTGTATAAGGTCCCTGAGTGGTGCAGATAGCTTCTGCTCCACTATTAACTTAAAGAGGAAGACTCCCAATAAGATGGATTGGCACAGTGGCAGCAGCCATGAGCTCAAAAGTAACAATTTGTGAGGATGGCGCAGGACTGGGCAGAGTTTCGTTCTGTTGGGCACAGGGTTTCTATGAGTCAGAACCAACTTGATGGCACCTAACAAAAGCAACAACAACTCACTTAAAAGTTGGCAATTCAAATCTACCCAGCAGTACCACGGAAGAAAGTCCTGGTGATCTCCTCCTGTAAAGTTTACTGCTAAGAAAACTTAATGGTGTTGTTCTCCTACACACTCATGGGGCTGCCATGAGTTGGAATTGACTTGATGACAATTTTTTTTATTATTATTATTCAAGAATCCCATATAAAGCAGAAGAAGGAAAAGGAAGAAAGACTCCTGAAACCCAACCCTAAAATAAAACTACAAAAGATCAAAGAGAGTACATATGGGTCACACGCAGCTCCTACTGGGAATGGGAATGGAGCCTGCAGGGGTGGTCCGGCTTAACGCAGAGACCGGGAGCCAGGGGAGAAATGAAGGAAGAGTGGATGCCACAGACAGACAGGCAAGGAGGTCCTGCCTGGAGCACAGGTCAGGAGAGGCAGCTCCAATCCAGAGTGGGACTCAGGCTCTGGAAGCCAGGGTTCTAGAAACACCACTAAGCATGGCTGTTCCCAATTCAGCACACTATCTCTCCTACCCAAATTCTACAGCCCCACACATGAGAATCTTCAGACGGTTCACTCTCAGATCTCTGATCCAGAAGAAACCCCGAGCCAAAGTCAGCTCGCGGGCGGGGGTCTGACCTTCCCACCAGAAAGCGTATTAGTCACATTAGAGGGTCTTTTTTTCCCCCTCATCAGAGCTGTGAAACATATCTGAATAATTTGAGATAATTGCAGTCAAGGACTTAAAAGGAACTGGGCTCAAGTGTTGTCCAGTTTGAGTCTCCAGTCATCCAGGCAGCCCCCAGAACAGTTGGCTTTTGAGGGGTCTGTGTCAACATTACGGCTCTGAGGCCCATGCAGACACACAGGGATGCTGGCATGGCCGCCGGATGGACAGCTTCCACCAGCCACACTCAGGGCTTCCAGGGACGACATTCTTCTTATCCTCTTTCAGCTGAAAACACTCCTGATTTTCCAAGCAAGCACAGAAACCACCAGTGATGTCAAAAGTTGAGCTACACGTCCGTCCCCATCCTCCTCCCAGACCTGCCTCGAGCCAGCTGAAGGCAAGATTTGCAACACAAACTTTCATAACAATTATGGTTACGAAAGTCGAAACTCATAGTTTGGAGCAAGCAACAGAAATCAATGACAATTAAATCCTTCTAGAAACAGAGCCCGACCCTCTAGGGGTTCTCCCTTACAGAAATAACACACGGCTCGTTCGTTCTCTGAGAGGGACCAGACCAAGTAATTCTTTCTTTGAGAGTCTTTGTTGTCAGTTGCTAATTTTAAAAAATTTTTATGGGGAGTGTCTGAGCGTTGGAGGCATGGGGGTACTGGGCACAGAACTGGTCAGGAGTGGAGTAGTTCTCTTTGCCTGTTAGGGTAGGCTCAGGCTGGGCATGCGGGTCACTTCTCCAAAGGCAGAGGGGCTACCGGTTTGCGTGATAAATGGGGACCCAGGTCTCCAGGGCCTGCCCTGAGCTGTGCCCTTTCTATATGGTCACAATACAGGAGAAGCCTTTGGCTGTGAACTTACACCAACAAGAATCGATTGTCACCATGCCCACTGGGGAGAACAAGTCTCTGTTAATAGATATACTAAGCTGGTCTCTGGTATGTAAATGAGCAATTTCCCCGACTGGCCATGTGGTGACATTCACCAAGAATGTCCCGTGAAACATTCGCTCCCAGGCCCCTCCTAGGAGATGTTATGGGGGTGCTGGGGAGGGCTCATGTGACCATGCTGTGGCTCAGCCTCCTGTCTTTGGGAAGGGCATGGTGATCTCTGATCCTTGTTATGGATACAGATGAGGGATTCAGGGGAGGTGCACATTCCTGATGGCAGTGTGGGCGTAGCCAGCTGTTCACAGCTCGGGGACAGGGCCACCAGAGGACCCCGAGAGAGAGAGAGCGCTCAGTACCCTGCCCAGAACAGGGACCACATTTGTAGGCAGCTTCTTTCCTTGTGGGAATTAGAGGTTGCATGGGTCATGTGATGAAGGGAGGGGGCAGAGGGACAAACAGAGGTTTTCTCCCATATAGACTGCCCTGGGGTGGGGGTGGGGGGTCTGGTTTTTGCTCTGTCAGATCTGACTTGGAGCCTCCACTGACACCCCAAGTGTTCCAGGGCAGTCTCTTGTATGGCTTTTCTGGAAGCTTCCAGCCACTTCTGCCTTCCCCTAGAAGCATCTCAAGCAGAGTTGGGCTGGGTGGGGAGGGAGAGGCCAAGAGAGCCACCAGGCCCCAGATATCAGTGTGAGCATTTACTCCCAACCCCACCCAGCAGCCAGCCTGGAGCCTCCAGGGACAGGCTAGAGGCATGAGCACAAGGGTCCCCCCAACACAGCCCTAGGGGCACCTACCTGTATGGCTGCTCTCCGGTGTGTGTCCGCAGGTGCCTTGTGAGATTTGCTGATCTGGGGAAGATCTTGCCACAGTACCTGGGGGTGTTAGGGGAGACGGTTAGGACATAGGATACTGAAGGCATTTCAGCATGCCCCTCACCCCCATGCAGCACCCAGAGCCCAAGGTTTCACACCTGTATGTGACCCCCTGACTGTGCACCTGAGGTTTATGAACCCTCAAAACCCTGGAGTGTCCCTCAGCTTACAAGGTCATCAAGTGCCCTTGAAACAGGGCCAAGTGCTTGGTCCATTTGGAGCCATGCTCCCAGCAGTGCCTAAGCCTCAGCCCAGCAGTGGCTGGAGCTAGCCTGGACCAGCTTGTACAGGGCCCCACCACCTGGTGAGGGCAGTGGGGGTGTCTCTCTCTAAAGTGGTGAAAATCCATCCGCAAAGTCCACCAAAGACAGCGTGAGAACTCTCGGTGGGGCCATTAGCCTCTCGCTGACCAGCCGCCTGGGAGGCCCAACTATTTTGCATGTTTGCTGAGCTCACTTCCAGCAGATTAGCAACCCACGTGTTATTAATGAGCCATGTACCACTGCCATACCTCACTCTGGCTGTGAACTAAGAGTTTCTCTAGAAAATGCAGGTTCAAGGCCCCTGAGGTCACCTGGCTGGAGTCCTTCCACCAGCACCCCAGAGGTATGTCAGGGCCTCACCTGCACGTGTAGCGCTCCTTGCCCTTCCGGAGGATAGGGTCTGAAAGCGTCGGGGGTGGGGACCGGAAGTTGAAGGGGTGATGTGGCAGGGGCTGCAGGGAGCTGCTGGAGTCGGCCTTCAGGGCCGCGAAACTCTCCAGCTTCTCAGTCATGGTCTCGATGGCAGACATCTGTTGGTAGGAGAGGGGGGAGAGGCTGCTATTGTGCCTTCAGTGTGTGGACCACCCCATGGGCTCTGAGGGTCCTTTAGGACCACACACAGCAGTGGGGATGGACCAGGATGAGAAGACCACTCTGTCCTTAGGCAACCATTGGAAACAGTGGTCTCCTGGGGACTTCCTAGCCACTGGGCTGGATTCTTGAATTTTTTTTGTGGACCTGCCCGGCTCTTGTTCTTCCCTGGAATGCCCCGGGGGGATTGTGGGGGGACCTGAACTGACCTCCACCAACCAGTCCCACTGCCTATATTTGTTGGGGTCTGAATGACAGGCCAGTGCTGCTACTGCTGACTCTGTCCCTTCTTCTAACCCAGACCAGCACTGCCTGGCCATCATTCCTGAATGATTAGTTTGGTTAAACACAGAGTTTTATTTTGAAAGTCTTGAACAATTAAGATATCTATCCAGAATCACCCTGATGACAATGGGTTTTAGCCGGAATCTGTTTAAAACATGGTATTACCGCCCCCTGGTGGCAACATACTATAATTGCAGGAAAAGTACTCCAAGGAATTCAACTGCCTCTTTCCCTATTGAAAACTAATAAAAATCAGTTGCCAACAAGTTAACTCAGATTCATGACAACTCTATGCATGTCAGAGTAGAACTATGCGCCATAGGGTTTTAAATGACTGGCTTTTGGGAAGTAGATCACCAGATTTTATCTTTCAAGGTGCTTCCGGTTGGATTTGAATGCCCAACCTTTTTGGTTAGCACCTGAGTATGCTAATCATTTGCATCACCTTGGGAAATTGTTCCAAATGAAATATTCAAAAGAATAATGCCCAAAGTCATATGACACAGTTGATATGGCAAAAGAAGCTTAGTCAATGACTTCCTTCAGTCTGGGGTGGGAAGGAATTTAATTGGTCCAACAGAGATCAAAACTGAGGCAAGCTAAATCAAACCAAGGACCCCAACCATGGTGCAGTTTTCAGAGTTCTCAGGAACACATTGTCTACAAGTAGTTCATTTGGGGAAAATCCTGATGACAAATGTTGGAAAGAAAGGCAGTGTGGAAACGAAGGGCTTCCCTTGGGCAGTCAGAGAGGAGACGTTGCTCTGAGATGGAATAGAAACATGCCAACCTCAGGCCTTCCTACAAGCCAGTGGTTGCCTGGGTGATGATGCCCTCTTGGGACAAATGGTTCATGGTGTCCCAGGATCACTCCCAGTGTTCCTCGGACAACTTGGGGTGATGGGGGAGGGCTTTGAGATTTCCTGAAAAGGAGACGGGCAGGCCTGGGCACCTTCATCCTGGGCATCCAGAGTCTGTCTCCTGCTTGGAGAAGAGTAGGTGGCGTGGAACTGGCCACTTTCCATCTCGGTAGTTAGGGTCCTAATAAGAATCCTAGGTGGTGTGTCCCTTTAAGCATTTGTTTCTCCTACCAGAGGTGACAGGGCTTGGTGATTGCATTAGGGGATGGATTTGTGGAGCTGGACAGATTTCATAGCCTTGCTCTACAGAGCTACAGAACGCCCTTTCTCCTTGTCCAACAGAAACTACATCCCCAAAAGGTGGCTGCCCTGGGCATGCCACCTCCCCTGCCCTAAGTTGTTGGAGAAACTGTGGAAGAGGTCCCGGGACACAAAGGATCCTTTGTCCCAAGTGGTTACTATCACCAGGTATTCACTGGCTCAGGCGGGGGAAGGAAGAACATTGGTTATGGAGGTGAGGGTCTCAGCGAGTCTAGGCCACTTAGCCCTCTTCAGGGTACCTGGCCTAATCTTGGTGCCATCTCTTCTCCAGGCACTTCACAGAGGCACCGATTTGGGGGAGCCAGTATGGAGAGGAGGGGGCGCTGGGGAGAGGGGGCCCCTTAAGCAATTCTAGCACAGCCTACAGCCTTTCCAGGCTTGGGACGTCTTGCTATTTAGGGAACTACCCATGGGTTCCAATGGAAAAAACCTCAGAAATTTACAACAGCCAAAAGATGGAACCCACCCAGTACCCATCAACAGCTGAATGGGCAGAGAGAGGGGGTATATTTCTCACTCAGAAAGAGAGCTGATGTGCTGATACACACTGTAACACGGATGCACCTTGAAACAATACGCTGTGCTGTGTGGAGTAAGGCAGGCGCAGAGGGACAACTTTTATACGGTCCCACTTACATCAAAGGTACAGAATAGGTACATCCACGAGGCAAAAGGAGATGCTGGCTACCGGGTCTGGGGAGAGGGTGATGGAGAGTTACAAAGATGCACACTGAGGAGTGGTGAAGTTTACCATGTGTAAATGATACCCCTTTAAATCTGTTGAAAGACAGACAGATAGAAAGGAAAATAGCCAACCTGACAGAAAGGAGTCCATGAGTGGGAACTGTTGCTGCCTGTATTAGTCAAGACCTCCTCTGGCCCCCAGGCTGCCCCTCAAGTCTCTGGCTTCTTATCATCACCCTGGGAGAGGCAGAGCCCCCCTTCCTCAGAATGGATGATGTTCCTCAAAAAGGTTGCCATCTCTCTACCTTTGCTGCTGGACAGGTGGAAACCGACTCAGGCCCACAGCCTCTGCCTGGCCCCTCCACGTCTGGATGATGGGTACCAGGGTGGCTCCAGGACCCAGGACACAGAGAGTCCTGCCCCACCTGAGCAATCCCAGCCTTGGCACAGTATGGCTTTCTCACGAGTTCCCAGGGCCCCCAGGGTGGTGAGAAGCCAGGGCAGGACAGGAGTGCCCACTCTGTACCCATAGTGTCTGCATAGGCTCAGCCTTTGTACATTGTGGATGCTACTAGTTACCAGCAATGGCTGGACTGTAGACCATCAAGTGTGGGCATGGCATGGCTCTCTGTCCCTCTTCCTGGCTCAGGGCCGTGGGGCAGACGGGGGTGGGAGGAGGGACAATGGGCAGTCGGTCCCACCAGGCCGCCTTTCCTTGGCCTGCCCACCGGGGACAGGGTCTTGCCGGCCGATGTCCCCACCATTCTCACTTGCACAAATGCAGGATATGCCGGCCGGCTTGTCAGCCTCTCCAGGCTGTCTGAGGAAAATCGAGGGAAGTTATTAAACAAGCCCTCGGCTCAGCGAAACAATGACCGGCTCTAAGTTTAGCTGTGAACCAGGCAGGGTGCGGGGTTCACAGCTGTGGGTGTTTGTCTGTGGCAGGGACACCAGGAAGGAGAACAATGTCCCCGTCTGTAGTCACATTAAGGTCCTGGAGCCCTCAGTCGGGTGGGCATGGGGGGCAGTGGCTGGAATCCCAGGAGGGGGCTGGGCCTCAGGCAATGAAGGCAGGTGGATACTAGGGTGGGGCACCAGGGGAGTGGCCACCCTAGGCTGTGCTCCTTCCCAGACCCCCACTCCAATCTCTGCCATGGGGGGAGGTGCTTGCCTCTAGGGAACCACCTCCCTGGGGACCCTCTTACCACAGAGGATCAGTTCTTCCCCTTCTCTTCTGCGCCCCTCTTTACACTCAGCCACTCCCATTTTCTGGTCTCTTCATTTCAACCCACCCAAGTCTTCCTCACCCCAGAAAGGGCCCTTGCTCCCTTAATCTTTCTGGGTGTCACCCCACATCACTTCTCCCTTTACCTCAAAACCCTCTTATTCCCTCCACCCGAGATTCTGTCCCTCCTGTCCCGGGAGTCTCTCCCTCCCTCTTTCCCTTCTTCCTTCCCTTCCTTTTGAACATTCTTTCCTTTGATAAGCAGATGCTGTTGACTTGTCTCCGACACATGTCACCCCCAAGCCCCACCCTGTATGTCAGAGTACAACTGTGTGCTCCTGGGATTTTCAGAAATCAGTTCTCAGGCTTTTCTTCAGAGTCACCTCTGGGTGAACTTGAACCTGCCACTGTTAGCACCATCCAGGGTCTCCTGCCAGGCTCAGTGTCAGCCCCCTCTGTCCCTGCCCTCAGGAAGCTGGCATTTGGGGCTGTCCCCCTTCTCCCCATATCCTCAAGTCAGCAGTGAACGCCCCCATCCCCTCTTGGTGTTTCTCACTCCCCTGCTTGGCCTCTCCCGTGGACTCCCACAACATTGGGGTTCCTTAGGGTCTGTCTGGTCTCATCTGGTTCTGCCCTCACCCTTCCTCATATACTGGGACTGCTGGCAGGATGGGCACATGAAATGCTGCCAAATGTGATGTCCCCAAATGGGTGTGTCACTGTGAGAACCAAACATGGCGTGGGAACCCCTTCTACTCCCATGTGATGTCACTCCTCCCTGACAGGTACCAAGTTTACCCACTCGGACTCCTTTCTGCCCTCTGGGATTCTGGACAGATCACCACTGCTTTTGGGTGGGCCCACTTAGAGGGGCCGGCCAGCCGTTGTGCCTGGGACTCTGGGTGGAGACAGTGGGGTGGGCCACCTGAGGTTTCTTACATTTACATTAAACAGATTAAGATGAGACAGAATTAGGGAAGACGTTCCTCCATCACCAAGCCCGTTTCTAAGGGCTCCCAGCTACAGGCACGCTGGACACCGGCAGTGGACCTCCTCCAATCCAGACCCCACTGGACTAGAGCCCTGGACCATGGTACCTCCAGAGACCCCAGGCTTCCCGTCAACCAGCATGCTTCCTTGTCCCCAAGTCCCCCCCTCCGGTCAGCTTTAGCCTCCCATGGTGCCTGCCTCTGGATGTGACCAGCTTTGTTGGAGACTTGGAGGCAGTGGGACCCTGTCCCCCACCAGAGCTCCCTACCCTATCACAGGCAGCCTGGGCTGGACCCTGGGGGCGTGAGGACCTCAGACACTACTGTTATGGACAGGAATCCTCACCTGGGTGTGTGGTCCCATTTATAGATAGGATTGTCTTTGTTATGCTAATTAGACAAGTGTAGGGTGGATCCTAAACCTAATCACTGTTGAGTAATTTAGGAACAGCAGAGAGACAGCCAGAAGCCCAGTAGGGTCAAGGATTGTCAGCTACAACTATCAGCTGAAACAGACAAGCAAGGACCTTCCACTAGAGTTGGGGTGGGGAACTTTTTTCTGCCCAAACTTATAACATCGTTCACGGGCCATGCAAAAATATGAACTTAAAGATTAGCCTGCTATATTTGGTCAAACATTTAATGAACTCGCCCCCAACGTGATGGCTGGAACTGCGGTTGCCTTGGCAGAGCCACACCAAATGATTTCAAGGACCTTCAATGGCCCATGAGCAGGATGTTCCCCACCCCTATCCTAGAGCCACATTCTGAATGCAGACTTCTAGCGTTAGTTCTTTAAGACCACCCACCTGTGGTCTTTCTGAGAGGGTACCACCAGGAGACAGAGCCTGCCCTGCCCATCTCTGTGAATTACCTGGGGGTGGAACAGCAGTGGGGATGGCCGTAGATACTTCTCTTTGAGGACGCCCACAGGGTCGGTCACTTTCCGCTTTTCTACCCTGCTGGACAACAATACAGAGGGTTACGTACCCTACTGAGCCGCTCCAGTGCTGAGGAGGGAGAACGTGCTAGCCACCCACCAGTCTGTCCCAGCATAGGTACTGGTGTGGTGGTCTTATCATGGCTGCCCTGACTTCTGTGCCTCCAACTTCCTTCTGATGTTCTGCTGAGCCTGGGGACCTCAATGGCTGGCCTCATCACTTACCCAGGAGTGTCTTCCAAGCTATAGCCCTCTCTCCTGCTCCCCAGAATGCACTTGCTCATTGTGGCTCCTCATGTCATCCTGCTGGTCATCATTCCCAGCTCTGGTCACCCTTCAAGTCCCACCCACATCTCCCCAGAGCACCCCAGCTGCTGGCATCCGTGCCATGCAATGAATGACTCATGATGCCGTCAGTTCTGGAATCTTCTCTGAAGGCTCCAGGCACATCAGCCTCATCCTGAGGAATCCATTAGCTTTAGTGGGTGGGGGTTACGTTTCCTACTTTCTACCCAATGTGGGCTTGCTCACCTCAGAGTGTGAACTGCGCCAGGAGAGAAAGCCACCCTTTGCCTGCAGTCCTGGGCATGCGTTCCTGCCTGCTTGTGCAGGTACATGCAGGAGATTCCGACATCTCTGTCTTGAGAAAGTCACTAAGGACTCCAGGCCACAAGGCTACACTCTCCCCTAAAATTCGCCATGGTTACTGGAAACTACAAGTCTAGAATCTTCCCATAAAGTCAGTGATAACTCTTGTTTTGTCCATCTTGATGGGGACAGTGGTCATGTGATGGAAGTGGGGTTCAGATGCTGGGCAGCTAGCCTGGTCAAAGCTTAGGACACCTTTGACCTGGGGGTGGAGGATCCCAGTCTTAATTTAGGCTCACCCTGAGGGAGAGGCCTATGGGGGTAGCTGGGCATGCTGCTGGGGACCCTGTCTCCTCCCCAGAACACCTCCCTGCCACCACAAACCTGGGGAGAGATACCCACAACAGAGGATGCAACTGTTTATCTTGACGGGGCTAGGGGAGGGAAGGAGACTATTTGGGACGGGCCCATCTCGGGCCTTCTGCTCATTTGCTGAGCGCAAGCTGTTCCTTGGAGTCAACCAGACAACCCCGGTGTTGGTGAGGTGAGTCCCCAGGAAAGAGCCAATTCCAGCAGGTCTCAGCATGAAGGTTGGCTCAGAGGGCCCACAGAGGCCAGGGTCTCTGAGGCCTGACCTCTGCTCCCCTACAGCCTTCAGGGCACTTTGGCCAAGGCCCCAAGTTAGGCCCAGAGGAGAACTGTCTCAAAGAAGCGGGTGGGCAAAGGAGCCAAGAGAGGAGGGGGCTGGGGGCAGATAGGGGGTCAGAGTGGGAAAAAGCTGAAGCTGATGATCTGGCACACTTGGGGCTCTGACTACGAGGTCTGACTGGGAAGCTTTTGTCTTTTGGGTTCCTGGTCATCTCCCTCCAGTCCTCTGTACTCAGCTGCTGCATGTTGTAATGGGGATGTGGCCGGGTGCCTTCTCCTCATGCCACAGCTGTTTCCTGGCATTGCCTGAGCTTCCGAAGACTCTGTTTTCATTGGCAAATGCTACCTGTGCTGACCACGCTCGTCCCAGAATGCTGAAGGCAGACCCCTTGGGCCCTGTGTTGGTCATTTTCTCAAGCAGCCACAGTAGCATGTTTACAAAGACACACCCTGTGGATATCTTCCCTGTTACTCAGGGAATACAGCCTGGTGGCCAACACAGGCGTGGCTTAAAATTGTAAAAGGAATGTGGTAGCGTTGTATGTTTTCATCGTCTTTACTCAATCTGCATGTTGTTGTTGTTAAGTGCCATCGAGTCGGTTCCAACCCATAGCCACCCTGAACAGGGTTTCCAAGGCTGTAAATCTTTACGGGAGCAGAAAGCCTCATCTTTCTCCTGAGGGGCAACTGGTAGTTTTGAACTGCTGACCTTGCGGTTTGCAGCCTGATTCGTAACCACTACGCTACCAGAGCTGGATGATGAAAAAGAAAGCCTGAAGAATTGATGCATCTGCATCTGACTCGTGGTATTGATGAAGACATTGCGTATATGCCATGAATTGCCAGAAGAGTGAACAAATATTGGAGGGCGTACAGTCCGGACTTTGGATGGCTCATCCAGAAAGAGCAACTTCTAAAAAGGCCATCCTGTTTGGTACAATAGAGGGTCAGCAAGGACAAGGAGATTGACCATAACACGGATTGTCAGGTGACTGGACCATATCAATGCTATGAGGATGGCCCAGGCCCAGGCAATGTTTTGTTCTGTTGTACACAAGGTGGCCTTGAGTCAGGACTGACTGGATGGCACCTAACCATAATGACATGATGTGCCCATGGCCAAGAAGGGGCAGCTCCTGATCCATGGGGCTCTGGTGTATCTCTGCCACTTTAGTCAGGACAACAGCTTCTAGGCTGGATGCAGAACGCGAAGCCTCCTCCCGGACTCTTCTCTTTGAGCTCTGAACTCCCTGCCGTGCTGGCCCAGCATGGAACAGCTGCTCTATTCTCACGTGTCCCTGCATCCTAGTTCATGTGTGCCCATGGATAAACGTGTGCTCTCTCCACAGAAGTGTAACCCACAACACATGCACCATCTTGCTGCTTGGCAATCATGGCATTGCCTGTCTGCCTTCACCTCTGGGGGGTGCACTGGGCTCCCCAGCCCCACCCCAGCAAAGTCTCAGAGTACTCTATTACTTGGTGAGGCAGACAGATCCCCTCCCACCAGCCCACCTAGACCAGGGAGGGGAATTAGTAATTGAATTCACAGGGAGGGTTTCAGAGGGATGGACAGAGACCTTTTCAACCCCCCATCTTCCTCCTTTTCTCCTCAGTCCCCAGGCAGCGTCCAGCTCCTTTTGGAGTCCCTGGACAGTGGGGGTGGGTAGGAGAAAGGCTTGGGTGGCTCTAGGCACAACCGAAAGGAAGCGTGTTCAGAGGAAGAAACAGGGTGTGACTGTGGGTGGCAGAACACTAATCCAGGAATGACATTGTGGGGGGGGGGGCATCAAAGGAAGGCAGCTGACATTCAAGGTGTCAGCCAAAGGACCCCCTGTGTCCAGAAACATTTGGCCCAAGAACCAGTCAACTCAGGTGTCCTCTCCTGAGTGGTGGGGGTTCCTGCAAGAGCTGGGGTCTCCCTGAGGCTGCACGGTGGAAGGAAAGCCTTAATGGACAAATGGACCTCTGGTTCCTGCCTGGGAGTGAGGGGGCAGGGACCCGGTCACAGTGGGGGCGGGCGGGTTGGTACCTGTAGATGGGATCCATGAAGAAGGGCGAGGGCTTGGCGTAGTGCAGGGAGGGTTGCTGGGGCAGCTGCGCGGGGGACGCTTTGGGCAGCCCTTCGCCGGCACCCAGCTTGCGTTCTCCATAGACATGGTTCTTGCGGGGCTCCCGGCCGCTGCCATTCTGGCTGGCTCGGGCCCGGCTGCCAATGCTCAGATCCAGAGGCTGCTCCTCCCCGGACGCTGGGGCAGTGGGGAGCTTGGGTGTCGGCAGCATGGGCTTCACCTCTTTGGGTTTGGTGGTGAGGTCGAAGGGGCACTCGGTGCTAGGGCCTCCTGTCTTCAGGGCATCCCGGGGCGACTTGGGTTCGGCCTTGACCAGCAGGTTGTGGGCGAGGGTGCGGTCCGTGAAGGGGTACAGGGAGTGGGGGAAGTTGGGCAGGAACTGGAAGGGGAAGACAGAGTGGTAGGGCAGCGAGCCCAGCTTCTTCTCCTGCATGCCCATGAAGCCAGGCCCAAAGTACTTCTCAGCAATGGAGGCAATGGCCTTGATGGAATCACCTGCGGCCCCCGAAGCATTCAGCAGCTGCTCCTCAGGCGGAGGGAAGAAGGAGTGCTGGGAATAGAAGACGGGCACCTCACTCACGCTGTTGGGGACCCCTGGGGGCACAGGGCCGCTCCCGAACTCGGGCTTGCCCTCGGCCGCCTTGCTCTTGTCTTTGGCCCTGTCTCGGTCACTGTCCAGGTCGCTGTCCAGGTCTGAGCCGGTCCCCGTGGTGGTGTCCAGATCTGTCCCTGTGGTGGTGTTGATGTCCTCAAAGTCACTGCCGTCTGACACATCGCTATGCCTTGTCTTGAGCTTCTCCACATATGCATCCTCCAAGCCACTCTCAAACTTTTCATCCACACCTGGAGCCACGGTGGCGCCCTGGCCACTGTTGCTGACCGCGGATACCAGGGGCAGTGCGGGGTTCCCCAGGGGGCTGGGGAGCTTGGCGTCCTGGGTGTGGTTGAGGGGGCTCTTGAGTAGGGGTGTGGGAGGTAGCAAAGGTGGCCTGGGGTAGAGGGAGGGAGGGAAGATGCCCGGGAAGCCCGGAGTGAGAGTGGGAAAGGCAGGGGGCGCTGTGGAGAAGGGCAGCCCTCCAGGGTGCGGCCGGGAGGGGAAGTACTCGCTGAAGCCCAGGCCGGTGTGGTTGAGGTTGGGAGTGGGCTTTGCCTTGTCCATCATGGGGCTGGGGGTCAAGGGCAGACCAGGTGCGAAGATGCTGCCGGGAGCGTAATGGTTCTTGCCCTCACAGAAGCGCCGGTGCTTGTTGAGGGAGGAGGTAGTGCTGAACATCTGCCCGCAGTCCTTGCACTTGATCTGCGTGCGGCAGTCTGCATGCATGCGCTTGTGCCGGCACAGGTTGGAGAACTGCGTGTAGGACTTGTGGCAGACCTCACCTAAAACATCAGCAGAAAGCAACGACAAACACAATATGAAATTACCAGGAAACTCCAGGTGTGGAGTGGGGCTGGGCGGGGGCTCCAGTTCCTGGTCATTCACAGGCAGACTGCAGACTACACAGCATGTATGTGGATGTGTGTGTATATTTCTGCATAAGGGTATATGCCTGGCGATGTATGCATGTATGTGCATGTGTGCAAATACACAAGTACACGTGTGCTGGTGTGGGTGTGCACACATACAAGTACACACGTGCTTGTGTGGGCGTGCACACATGTGCATGCACAGTGTGTCTGTGTGCCTGGAACATGTGCTTGAGCATGCATATGCATGCACACACAAGTACACACGTGCTGGTGTGGTTATGCACACGTGCATGCGCAGTGTACCTGGGTACGTGGAACATGTGCATGAGCATGCATGTGCATGCACACACACACGCAAGTACATGTGTGTTGGTGTAGGCACACACACACATGCACAGTGTGTCTGTGTGAATGGAACATGTGCATGAGCATGCATGCATGTGCACACACATACAAGTGCATGCACAGCATGTCTGTGTTAATGGAGCATGTGCATGACCATGTATGCATGCATGTGCATGTGTGCACACATACAAGTATATGTGTGATGGTGTGGTTATACACACATGTGCATGCATATTGTGTCTGTATGCATGGAACATGTGCATGGGAATGTGTGCATGCATGTACACACAAACTATGCATGTATGCGCACACACGCACACACCTGAACACATGTAGGGAGTGTGGATGCATATGCACACACACACACACGGGCATGCTTGTATGTGTATCTGCGTGCCTATGAATACATGCATGAGCGTGCACGAATCCATGTTCATGTGACATGTGTGCACCAATGTATGTGTGTGAGACAGACATGTGCCTATAATGTGGTGCACACACATGTATCGGTGTATGCAGGATGTGGGTGCACAGCATGTGAGTGCATGTGTGTAAGTGTGTGTGCCCCTTCCGGGCTATCCTCAGGTGACCAGTACAAATCAGCTCTGGAGTTGCTGTCTCTCCAAAGTATGGGTCCCAGCGTGGACTGGCAGAGACTCCTGTGCCTTTCCCTCAGATTTCCTGGGATGACCCTGGACAGATGGCTTAATTCCACTGTGCCTTGGCCCCCTCCATTGAAAAATGGGACAGTTGTACTTTGTGTGCCTTCCTCCTACAAGATGTTTCTAATGGGGGCGTGAAGGTCTCTTGAAGTCATTCAGGATGATGACGCCCTCGCCGGGGTGTAGCTGCAGGCTCTGCGACACCATGAGTTCCACCAGAGGACCTCCTGTCCTGGAACCTGCCCTGTGTCCACTCCACTTTTGTGATGGTTGCTCCATCACCACTCACCCAAGGTGTGCTGTTTCTAAAATTTTCATAATGCCCCCTTCTTTTCTGTCCCCAGCCCTGGGAGCTGTGTCCTGGGTGAAGGTGGTCTCAAGAGTGATACTGGAGACAGGAATCATTCCAGGGATTCTTGGGGGGCCCTAATGGGCTTTGGTGAGTACAGTGGTTCCTGGTTAGTTCTCAGTGATAGGGTCTGCTGGTGGGGACGAGGGGAAAGAGATCCATATTTAAGAAAACGGAAAATCCCACTACTAGGACCCCCTCCTCAGAAGAGATGAAACAGGCCATGTCAGGCTCTGGTTGGTGAACACGGATCCTCCTCTCATAGCAGGAAAGGCCAGTGCCGGCTGGAATCAGAATCCAGGGCCCTGCGCACAGGCTCTCGGGAGAACTCATCCTGGCCACTTTCCCAATGACAGAAAGAGAGGAGCGTACCGGCACACACACATGCATTACACACAGGCAAACACACAACACAATACGCAATGATACTTCCCACACACGTAAATACTCTCATACTCACTCATGCATGCAACACATACCCACACACATCCACAATGCACATATGTGCACATACACACATTCAGACATGCATACATATACATATGCATGTGGATACATAAACAACACTGACCCGACAATACTAAAATACTCACACACACACACACACACACACACACACATCCCTACACAATCCGTATGGGCGTGCACACAAATACAATAACCTGCACCCGCATACGCAGGGCACACATGCGTGCACATCCCAATCTAATGCACGCATGCACAGTGAGGGTATGTGTCTCTCTGCAGGACAATTTGCTTCCTAAACGCTGGCCCAGTGGAAACAATGATTCCAGCGTGTTCCTTGCTCACCGCAGCCCTCAGCCGGCTGATGTCATGCTATGCGAGCTGGGAGCCCTTTCTCTGCGATTACCATGCTCTCTAATCACAATATCTATTTATATTAGCCGCTCGGCCTTCCTGGCTGTCTGGCATGGCGGGAAGTTTTCAAGGCTGAGGGGAGAAGAACTTTGCCTCATTTAATCAAATCTGCCCTTTTTGGGAGGTTGCTAACCGTAAGGCTGCTCCGCAGGGATAGTCTATAAATACCTCGGGCCGCGACCTTCAGGGTGGAGAGTATGGCCTGAGCTCTGTTGGCCCTGGCTCTGTCCTGGCCACAGCAGCTCCTGTTGCTCCTTAGCTCAGAGCTGGCCCTCTGCCCAGGGTACCCTCGGTTGGCTCCCACAATCTTCTCGCGCATGGGGTCCTGAGGTGGTGGGTCCCAGGAGGCTCTGGGGATACTGAGCTCTCCAGATGGGAAGGCTCAGCAAACAAGGAAGGGGAGGTCTGGATGCTGAGGACAGGGGAAGGAGCCCTGGTTGGGAGCAGAGCCTAACACAGTGGGTCCCAGACCCCCCCAGTACAAGGGGCCCGGAAGGAGGACTCACTCCTGGTCAGCAGTGTGAGAGAACATGAACGTGAGTGTGGATACATGCCTGAACAGATACTCACAAACACACATCCACAACCATACTCACATATTCACACACTCACACTCACAGATACACTGACACACACGGAAACATCAGTCTCACACACATACACAAACATGCATTCTCATAGACTTGCTCACTTACACACATACATATACAGACTCTCCCCCTACCCCTCACTTCCCCACCCCCCCGCTACATACACACACTGACACATGTACACTTTAATGAAAATTGTTGTTGCCAAGTGCCACTCTGAAAAGTGCTTACAAGAACACTGCCTTCCCTCACACCAGACACACCCATACTCAGATACATGCGGGCACACGTGATCACACACACAATACATACATGAACTCCCTGGTGGCTATGACCTCACCTGAGAAGTTAGGGTGCCTTAGGCTGGGTGTTCACCAAGGCGGAGGCTTGGCAATGCCTAGGCATTTGAGGTTGATTAATGTGTGCCATGGGTGTGGGTCCTGTCACTCGGCAGTTGGGGCACCGAAATACGTGTGCATCTGTGCCTGTTGCCTACACACTCCTGAGGGACAGATCGTGTTTCCAAGGCCGAGCACGGCCCCTCCACCGAGCTCCGCTGCAGCTGGAAGATGCGCAGGGCTTATTCCACACGTGTAAGCTAGTTCTGAAAACCTGCGTCGCTGCACTGAATGAAATGTGTGCAGATGCAGCCAAGCCACATTTGGGGTTTCCTGGTTAATTCCATCCCTTCGTCAAGAGCCAAGACCCAGAAGTGAACTTGGAGCCCAGACCAGAGGTGGAATAGCTACTGATACCGGCAGGTCCGGCCCAGGCATCCCCATCCTCCCTTCATCCATATGGGAAATGTGTGCAGAGCCGTGGAAACATGGGCTCGGCACCTTCAAAAGCACTGCGGTTCCTGGAACTTACATTATGAATAGGATCCAACAGACTTAGAAAGGCGTGTGTGTGTGCCCAGAAAGGCAATTGCTGTTAAGCCTGTGGACAGTTTTCTTGATTTGAACCTTGCTTTAAACCTCTGTATTATGATCTAAAGCACTTATGGGAGGCTGCTCCCTGGCCCCATTTCCACCCCAATGCAGTCTCTCCTTAGACTCTACTGGTGTGGGGTGTTGGGACCTGCTACACTTCACTCAGATGCCCCTCTGTCCAGGTGACTGGAAGATAAATCTGTAGGGGGTGGACAGTGGGCCACACTCTTACCCTCTTTCTGCTCCTTGTCTGTGGGACCCAGTGGGTTTGAATCTGAGTCCTCTCTAGGAGGCAGCATGATGTGTGAGCTGGGAGCAGAGGGTAGGAGGGGGTCGGCAGGGGCTCAACAGGCCAGTCAGCTGGAACACCTAGATCCCAGGTCCCTGGCTCCCCTATGAAAGGCTTGAACTATCCCCCTTTCATGGGTCAGTAGTGTGGCCCTTGAGCTAGACCACTAAGCTCTGCACTGTGACCCCAGAGTCTAGCCACTGGATGACTTGATGCCTCGGTTTCCTTTGCTGTCAGCTGGCGATGACATGGTACCTATGCCTGCCGTGGGATTCTATAAAGATGTCATGTGAAAAGGCATGGGAAATGATAACTCAGTGCAATGCTTGTGTGAAATGGTGACTTGGCACATGGCGTGGCAGATGGGAGACTTTAGTGGCTTCCAAACTCACCAAGAATCAGAGTTCCACAAGGCTTTGTGACCTCACCCCAGGATCTCTGACCCCCTTTCTGATGTCCCCCTGCTCACTCGCTCTCCAAACACATGGGTCTTTGGCTTGTCACTGTCCTGAGCCCCTTTTGCAGATGCCCCATGGTGGTTCCCTCTGAACATCCATCTGGTCTCTTCTAGAATGCCCCTCATCAAACAGGAGTGGTGCCCAGGCCCACGACCAGCCTGCGCCTCTCAACTTCACGCTGCCACCACCTTCATTCCTTTACCTGTCACCTTCACCAGTCCTTTGATCCCCTAACCCCACAGTACCATCCTCAGAGCCCCTTAACCCTGCACTCACATACCCTAGGCCTCTTTACCCCTAGGTCCCCTGTCCCCACACCATCATCCTGAGAGTCCCCCAACCCACACTGCTGACTCTTGAGCCCCTTAACCTCATACACCTGTCCCCTGTATGGCTACCACCTGGGCCCCTTAACCCCATACTTCTGTCCCCTGACCTGTCACACTGTGCTCATCAGCTGTCCCCCCCCCTCGCAATGAGGGAGGGACACCTTTATTTACAGCAACTCCCCGTTGTCAGGAACAGCTGGCAGTAGGGCACCCCTTGGGATCCAGGGCTGGGGTATGGGGGACAGGGAGAGGGGCTTGGGGAAGGGCTTCTGGCTCATTCTGCAAGACACAATGAGCTGCAAGGATGGTCCCTGCCCAACCCGCCCCTCCCTCCTGTCACTGGAGGTAAAAGCAAAGAGACAAGCAGAAAGACACGAGGCAGGAGGGTAAAGAAGCAGAGATGAGCCCATAAAGCCAGGGGTCATGAGCTGCTGCCTGGATGCTTTCTAAACAGGCTCTCATGAGGGGCAGTATGTGCTGGCGATGCCCGAGCTCAGGCCGGCGGGGACGACTTACATATGAAGGGCTTGACGGTACTGTGGATGTGTTTGTGCTGCTTCAGGCCCGAGGACGTGGCGAAGGTCTTTCCGCAGTCAGGGCAGGCATGTGCCCGCGCGCCCACGTGCTGGGAGCGGATATGCCGCTGCAGGTTGCTGGGGTCCGTGAATACCTGGGGAGACAGGCTCCGTCAGGTCTGACCCTCACCAGAGGGGACAGCCCCTGATGTGGCACCAAGCTTCCCTTGCCTCAATTTCCTCAATAATGTTGTTGTTAATGGCTGTCAACAACCCAGTGTGTTCTGTGCATGAAGGAACAAGATGCTGCCCTTTCACACCACGTCCTCATGATGGGTTGCAGATAGGATTATTATGATCCATGGGTCTTTATGGGCTGATTTCTCAGAAATGGAGGGTCAGGTCTTTCTTCCTAGTCTTTCTTGGCCTGGAAGCTGTGCTGAAACTGCCCAGCATTCGGCAACACTGATAGATGGATGGTGGCCGTGCATTGGATGGGACTCAAACCCAGGACTGGTGCATGGAAAGGGAAAATTCTACCCCTGTTTAATAAGGGCGGAGAAATCGCTAACCACAAGATGTCCAGAGGCAGGAGTTCAGAAAGAGTTTTAATCTGATGTGCGAGGAAACTTGAGGGCTCGGGTTTGCTGTACTTAGGCTCTCTCCCACAGGCAGCAAGTGAGAGTCCTGTTCCTTCTGGACCCTGTGATACCTCTGTGAGGGTCTTTCCTCTCGAGCAGAGAGAAGGGTCCTAACAATCACAGGGACCACTGCAGAGGCCCCGAGCCTCATCTGAGTTTGTACCTCAGGGCAGAGGGAGGGCAAGAATGTCACTTTCCTGTCTGCACCCTGGAGGCTGTGTGTGTGCATGAGTGGGCAGGTGTAAACACATACCCATCTGCACTTGAGGCTGTGTGTGCATGTGAGTGCAGCAGGTGTAAAACACACACCCATCTGCACCTGAGGCAGTGTGTGCGTGTGAGTGCAGCAGGTGTAAAACACACACCCATCTGCACCTGAGGCAGTGTGTGCGTGTGAGTGGGGCAGGTGTAAATACACACCCATCTGCACCTGAGGCTGTGTGCACATGAGTGAGGCAGGTGTAAACACACACCCATCTGCA